CCGTTGCAACATGTCCGTCGCAGAACCGTGTTGCAGGTCTATGTTATTAAAGAGTTGATCTAACCTTTGTCGATCGATTAGGTCTCCTCGTTTAAGAATCGAACGTTTTAAGATTCCGTAAGGTTCGGAAACATCACTAGTAAACATACTAGGTGTTACGTACCTGTTGAATTCGCGCGGTAGTGCCTTGACTACTGCGAGGAATTGTGCACGTGTGTCGATCACGCCGTGCTCGTGGAAGTCGGCTTCTGCGTAGCAGAACCAGGCTTCGATATTGTCGGGCCAGAAGGGTATGAGTTGGAACGAGGGTGGGGATATGGTCTTAATCTTAAATACCTTAGGAGTCTGTTCAGTCATAGAGGAATATTAAGTACGAGAATACGAGGGAAAATATAGATATCCTGAGACACGGGGAAAAATATCACAATGTATCAAAATTAAAAAAATAAAGCAATAATATATAAAAATCCCAAAAAGGAACAGACTCACAGTTGCAATAAGGTGTACCAGATCACATCGGTCTCACCAATGAAGATGACACAGGAATTCAGTGTTTGTCAACGCTTTTATCAGTAACACCTTCTAATATAATTCATTCCCACCCAGAGAAATCGAAAGACGGAGTCGAGGAGATCGGAAGAGTGTATTTGGCGATTACCAATATATCGGAATTCTCTGATCTAATCTGGCTAGCGATTGCGGTAGATGTTGAGCACAGCGTTACCACACGTGATCTGGTGCGGATGCATGACCGAGCGCCTTCAGTTAGATGAGTCCACTAAAACATATGGTCGGCATCCAATGTCGAAAACTTACAGCCATTTATTTTGGGGATTTATTTACCGCTACAATGTCTAAGATTCTAAGAGCCTTAAGTGCATTGTCTTGATCGAAGTCCACTCTGAGCAAGTGATTTGTTGACTCTGTATTTGGGTTTGTTTCTTTATCTGGAGGAGGTTCCTGCATGAAAGCTGCCGCAAAATACTATGTTTACCAATTTCTTTTCCTTTTTTTATCGTTAATATACCTAGGTTCCTGCTTGGAAGTATTGGTGGTCTAGTGCTAATAGACACGGAAGCTCGTTAAGCGAAAGCTTAGTCTATTCCATACACAACCGTTTGAACTATTTGGATATTGAAGCCTATGCGCGTATTATAATGTATGTTGCCAATGTGTTCTTTCATAAATTATTTGGTAAACGTGAAATATACGGCCGAGAGAATGTGAAGTCTCGACTCGTTTTAGGAAATTTTAAAAAATCAAAGACTTTCAAATGACCTTCTATTCTGGCGACTATGATTATGATTACTGTCCTGACATCAAAGCTGTCAGTTCGTGATGAGAATCCTAGACGTAACCGCTAATCATACTTACTAACACTTAACCCTAGCCGTATATTAACATTTGGGCCATAAACATGCTGCAGCATTTTCGTTCCTTATCGGTTTGGTTGTATACTTTTCGCTTATCAATAATTGTTGACTTATCGTTGTCGATGATTGGTGTTATAATATGCATAATACTTCAGAAGATCATTTCAAAATGTTCGACCAGACTAAGTATAGTTTCATCCTATACTTTTGCTTTTATTGAGATTATAGCACCAGCCTTCAGTAGTAAGGATAAGTCTGTTGACTTGTATTAATCCTTGTAATTTGTTACACTGCAAAGGTCCAGTCTCGTTTTGAATTTATCAAAAGAAGGTGCTAATGTTGCGTATTCCGGTGGAAATTTCCAGTAATTCACCACTTAGTGCGAAAAACGAGACTCCAGACTCAAACGATTTGATCTCGGTTTTTGAACTTTATTGGGATATCCTCACAGGTGATCAGCCCTAGGAAAAGATAAAACATATTAATACCAAGGACGCCGTTTAGCGTATGATAAGTCAACATCAGAGCACGCCGTATTCCGTGATATGATGGCGGAAGTTGAGATGTCTCAGTCTATCGTCATAGCATATGCCAGAGAGACTTTTTAACCATTTTGGTCTATTGTCGTTGGACTTGTTCTAGTATATCCGCCTCATACCTGATTTAAGGACTCACTTCTTGAATACCATATTCCAAGTGCGACCTTATCTGGTTTGAGTTGTTGAGGTTATATTAACACAGTTCCTTTTTCATTAACTACAAGGCCCTGATCACGATTAATTGTTGGTCGTTCTCATTGCCGGTATAAAACATCGTATTAAAATGTCTTGATCACGTTTCAGCTTTTTAGGCACCATCTCTTGCCAACATCAAGGGATTTTGTTGCGCCAAAACTGGTGCGACTCAACCACTTCCCCGAGTTTGCCTCTTTATATACGAAAATAACCTTTTCGGACTATTTTCACAATCCATAACCAATTGTTTTTCATGGGGCTGTCTAATCCTACTTATCAACGCTTTACAAGCATTCCTAGTCCTACAATAATTGAATATATATTTTCTAAGCCTGCAGAGATGAACATATTTCAATGCATTATCCTGCGTCTAAGAAGTTTCTTGACGTGCTTAGTTATCTATGGTGGACAGTTATTTTGTGTGTGTGGTACTAAGCATGGTACAAAGGAGAACGTAGTTGAAATAACCTTACATTTAAATATATACCATGCTTTTCAACTGATGAGCCAGTATCTACTGACCAGTCTGTTTTTGCAGCTCATTCCTGAATGGCTGATATTTTTACTCTCCGTCTCAGTCCACTAATATCAGGTGCCTTAAAATCTCATATCAAGCACTTGTTATTTTCATTTTATGGCTGAATGCACTCTAAAATAGTCATCAGCTAAGCAGATTTTACTACGATAGATGACGAAATATTTTTGGTGTGTTTCCTCTTAATGCACACTTATTTCCGTGATGGATGTCTCCCTTATTTCGTTCCCGTTATCTTTAATTCCCTTGACGGCAGTTCCTTTACCATTGCCCAAGGTTACTTTTGTGTACTTAGTTTTGGGTCACATTTTTTCAGTCTTATAATATTACTGAGTTTCTAAAATCAAGTTAGTTTGAGTAATGTTCTTGAGAGAGGAGAGTCCGTCCTCCCTCTCGGAATGCTCTCACATGGCCATGCATATACAGCCACTGTCAGGAAAGTCCTACTCATTGCTTCTCGCGGCTGGGGTGTTGCTTACGAAATTGAGAGGACAAAAAGCGGATGTCCGGTACTCTAACCGAGTTAGTGGATACGATGGGTCCACATGGGGAGTTGGAAAATCTTGATTTTAAACTAATTTTGCACTTTAGCTCCAGGATCCTAAGGAAGCAAATGGTGTATGAAGCTATTATTGGCCACCGGCCACCATGGGACTGCATCTCCTAACGCTGCCCCACTTCCTTGTGGATTAGACCTTTAGGTCAAAGGCTCTGGGTGTGCCGCCTTAAGGAAACCACCTGCTCCGGTTTGGGCGCTCGAACAGTATCATAGCCCTCACACAAATCTAATGACAAAGTGTGGTGCATATCTATTTGTGTTTATGTGTTTAAATAAACAAAGTAGTACTGAGCCCCGGGTCAGGAGCCGCACTGATTGGTGTGATTCCTGTTAACAGTCATTTATGTGCTGTTAGATTAGAAAGCTGGGTAAAGGTGAGAAGAGATTGGCAAAAACCGCTGTTTCTTGATAATCCACACTCAGATCGATTTCATCCCGGCCTTAATCAAATGTGAGTTCTGCCGTCAATCAAGTGATCCCAAGAAAGTGCGTTCGAACGATACTGTAGTACTAGCCTGAAATTTGAATGCGAAAGCCGTGGGAACTGACTGAGTTGTTGAGTTGCTGACACTAGGATAAAGTGGAAACTGCAGAGATTTTGACAATTTATGATACGGTACCATAGTACGAAAGAAAGCTGGATGTGATCGGTGTATATTGGTCCATTACGACTCCTTAGTCAGAGTCCAAGAGACAATGAAACTCATTGACCTGAGATATTATCAGACATGATTCACAGTAGAGGCCGTTGTTGATGCTTCTGTAAATTTCCTTTACATTCTTTAAGATAATTTTTGTTAACCGAATAAACTGTCTTGATCACATTTTTAGCCTACCTGTATTCTATTGTATACTATTCTCTTCCTAACTAAATTTCTTTTTATTTGTTCACAATATTTTCTCTCTATATATATGGAGCACATTTTTTTTGGTTTCTACTTGTACTGAAATCTGTCTGTATTAAATAAAGAAATAATAATGACTAGTAGCAATGCTAATTCTTATTTCTGCAGATTAACTGTTGAATTTTAGATTCTACTTGGTTGGTGTTAGTCAACAGTAAAATGAGGTACAAGTTCATATTTGTTTAGACTTCTAGATAACATCACTTGTCCTTAGATAAGATACGTTACTCGTAGTTTAGCATCCTAACCTGTATATGTTGGCTGAGTTACTGTAAAGGGTTCGCTTATTATACCGATATAGTTTCCACAACTGTGTGTAACACATCTTAAAGTTCAATGAGTTATCTTTGTGCCTACAGCCTGTCTATTTACTTTAAAAATTAACCAGATTGCGTAGGGTTAGTAAGTACAGCTTGGCAGCCTTATATTGTGCTACATGAAATAAGACGGATTGAAACCTTTATCTCTTGATGAAATTAGTATTATAATTCGACACTTGAAAACGTTTTTTTTTTCATTATTCGCTAAGTCAGTATGACTTTCTGGACAGTGGCTAAAGACTCCTAAATGGTTTTATTTGCCTCTTTTCGAATATGTTAGTATGACACTCAACTCGAAAGGTGGTTTTTAATGAAAAAGAAAGAGTAGCGACGGAGGTCTTTACGAGTATCTGATTGTTTTGCTTTCTGTCTCCGAAATCCATCATTTTATGGAATTATATAGCGACAGTATTATTTCTCGAAAAGATTTTTGTAACAAAGAGAGGGTTTAATTAACTGATGGATAAACTGTCTCTTTCAAAGAGGTACAATGTCTCCAAAAAATTAATGAATATTTCCAATAACTGCTCTTACCTTGCTTTTTTTACAGACTTAGTTCTTATTTTGATGGATAATGAACTCTTGTTGGGGTTTATTTGGTTTGGCATTACGCATCTCATTATATAAGAGACCTAGTGGATTATTAAAAGGCTTTTCGTACGTTGATAGGGTATCAACTCAAAAGCTTCTTCCAATGCATTTAATAAATCTTCAGAAACACACTAGATGTCGTCATGTTGGACAAGATTCTGATTCTTCAGATGATGAGTTAGCTGATGAAGATGAGGATGATGATGATAATGCCGATGAATTAGATCCATATTATTCAGAAGATATGGCGTTCAGTCCACATTTTCGACAAATCTCATCATACGTCAAATCTTTACGTTTTGATAAAATTATTCGTGTGGGCTTAGATATCACTAGAAGTGCTGCTGACAATGCCTTTTTTTCTAACCGATGTAGGTTAAATGGAGGAAAACTGCTTAAGATGGGTACTACAGTTTATATAGGTGATAAACTTGATATAGTGATCGACGATACAGAAGAACCTCTTGGTAAAAGAGTGCGAGTTCTTGATATAAAACAATCAAAACAAAATAATTACAAGATTAGTTTACGTTGTTGGAGAAATAATGTCAAATTGTGAAGATCCCTAATATTGTAGCGATATAATTCTGTATTGTATTTAAATAAATAAAAGAGTGATCGATATAGAGATATCGTTTTGTTCTTGATTGCTTTTTTTGTTAAAGTATATAATATTTGGTTTTATCTTTGTAGTTGTATTATGTCAAGTTATTTTTGGTTGGCCGACCACCTTTGGCTCTATTTTCATTATTTATATTATTATGTGCAGTTGGATTAATTGTACTAGATGTACTAGTGAATAAATCCCCTCCTAATAATCCTGATGTTGAAAAACATTGGAATAAATTATTATTAGAATTATCAGGATTAGAATTTTGTATTATTAATTCATCAAATGCAAGATTAATGTCAGAATCTTACGCAAGTGCACATGTTCTACGTGGATTAGATGATATGGAATCTGACAACGTCATTATTTCACATGCAATCCATCTACCTTTATTAATATATCCTAATGAAGAATTTGTTTATGATATGTCATATTTATTAATTGCTAAAATGCATGGACGTCATATTGGTATTAAAGGTATGTTACAGTTTTCTTATCAGCTTCAACGTATTCTTTTTATACTGAACATGGCTCAATGGGAAACATTGTTATCTTACTAAAGCAGTCGTGGAGTGTCGAAACCTAATTTGAAAGCTAGCCGGTTATTATATGGCTATGGACGCAATGTTGTATCTCAAATGTTGTTACTCAATAAAAAAATCCGATTTCACTTTGTGGTTTATCTGATAAAGTAGACTAACATGAAACTATTTATGGATGTTAATATTTCATGGTTATAGTCAGTTGTATAGCTTCATTTGCGATCATTCTTGTACAGATGATAATTCATCGATTACGAACATGTAACTAATGGATTAGTTGATTCACCTATAATAGTTTGTGTGTCATCTTAGCTTATGTTTACATACTGGTTTTCGATCATAAATTTTAACGATTTGAATTGTATACAGGGATGACGATTTAAGTTAAGAGAAAACATTAGTCGCAGTAGTATTCAAAGTAATAGTTTCTAAATGCTAAATAACTGTTTAGAGCACAGAATTCGAATCCTGCTCAACGTGCTTCATGCTCGACAACCAGATCAATCCCTCTGCAAATGATGTGGTTTCAGGCATAGCATACGAATCTACTTGATAACAGAGTTATACTAACATTATTATAACAAAGTTTTAGTCGACAGAACAGAGTCAGTAATCTAGAGACTATTCGATACAGGATTCCGACCATGCTCTAATGCGATCACACATTTACTTGCGCCTCACTGGACGCAGAAAAGCCACATTAAGAAGATCCACTAGAATTGAACTAAGTGACGAGGAAGCCGAAAGCAGATTCCGGGAACAACTGAGGTCACACTTAGGTTGCTCTGAAAACGAAGCTGACCCAGATGTCGCTTGGAAAGATATACAAACAACTGTGGAAATAGCAGTGACATCTATTAGTGATTTTAAACAAAAGGGTTAAAAAAGACCAATGGATTTCTTCTAAGTCTATTGCACTGATAGATTCTCGTAAACTCATCCCATCATGCTCTAAATACGATGAAGAGCGAAAGCAAGTCAGATCTAGTTTAACCAAAAGTCTAAGGAAGGACTGTGATCAGTGGTGGTCTTTCTTCACTTAAAAGCAGCATTTGACTCTGTTGCCCGAGAGGTTTTGTGGCAGTGTACATCAGAAGTACATGAACCTTGTGAAGACTTTACTGGAACACTACTAATCAAGTCAGAGCTTATGGCGAACTGTCATCTGATTTTGCAACCTCAAGTGTTATCTGTCAAGGCTGTCCACTATCGCTATTTTTGTTCAACTTCATTATAGACATACTAATGGAAATAACGTTCTCGTCGTCTGAATTTTCGGACATCGATCTCCCTACAGGAGGTCCACTTATCGACTTAGAATACGCAGATAACATAGTCTTGTTTGATGAAGACGCTAATAAAATGCAGAGTCTTTTGATAGCGCTGGCCAACAATGCCAGAATGTTTGGGATGCGCTTCTCTCCATCTAAATGCAAGTTGTTGCTTCAGGACTGGCCTGCGTCAACACTTGAACTAAGGATACGATGTGAAGTAACTGAACGCGCCCACAACTCAACGTATCTTGGAAGTCTGATCAGCTTAATGGGTTGGTATCTGATGAAATTTCAGCACGGATTCAGAATGCTCGTTTGGCTTTTACCAACTTACGTCACCTATGACGAACGCGAGATATTCGGGACGAGTATACTGCGCGGCAGTTCATTCTGTTCTACTTTACGGCTGCGAAACGTGGCCATTAAGAGTAGAAGATACTCTTGAGCTACCGGTATTCGACCACAGATGCCTTAGAAATATTGCTCGCATCTTCTGGGATCACCGGGTACACAATAGTGAGGTTAGACGCAAGACATTAGGTAATGATGATAAATCAGTTGATGAGGTTGTGAATCTTTATCGACTGATATGTTTGGGTCACGTGTTACGTATGCCTGAACACCGATTACCACGACGCGCATTGCTGATTGATGTTGGGGATGGTTGGAAGAAAGTTGAGGTGAGGGCGGCCAAACCAAAACGTGGCATCGGTCTATAAAGTCATTAACTTCTAGTCTGAGCCATGTTGGTAGATGCAGACTACTTGGTTGGAACCCACATGACTCTCGTAACCAATGGTTGGGGACTCTGGGTGATATGGCTCAGAATCGATCACAACGGTGTAGGTGTATACACTCTCTGTCTTCCCTCAAACTAAGAGATTAAAATCACTTCATATCTTTCTTTCTACATACTAATTCATTTTTCCTGTACTATATCCTTACATTTAATCATTCTTTTATATATTACCACCATTGAATTAACTACTATGTATTCGGTGTTAATCTTGTTATGCTAATGAGGTATGACAACTTGGACCGATGCATATATGTGCCTGGTCCTACGTTGTAGCTGATTGGCTGACAATTCAATTCAGGTTGTCTCTTACCGCGTGAAGAGCAATCCATGTATATAAAATCCGTTTTGGTAACTAAGGTTATTTCAAATAGTTTAAATGAAGTTTATGTTTTCAGTTGTTTTAGCAAACGTGAAAATAATGATTCCATCATAAATAGATATCGGTTGAGCTGTTGTGGAAAATCACAAGGTACTGGACATTTGTTTTGTATTATTTTGTATATATGCAGCAGTATAACTCATTTACTCTCACAAAAATCAGTCTCAGGTCTTCAGAACTAACAAGCTGGTTTTCAATTTACATTCTCATTTTAATCTACTTCCGGCACGCATTATTATCGTAAATTAACATTCACTGTCATTTGAACTCATGACCCCCTGGCAGTGTTATCGTTTATTTTCAGTTGTTGAAGGTTGTGCAATAATCGAGTGCTTGTCCTATAACAGTATCAGAGTACTAGATTTGATAATAAAACGTACTGTATCATAAGGAGTTGAAAATGTTTGTTGTAAATGTTTATGTTTGTCCGTTTACGTCTACAACATAAAACAATAGTTGTGCGTGAGGTCTAGTGAAGCATAATGAAATTGTACTTTTGGAAATCCCGTGACAGAATACGTGGTGTTGTGCTTTATTGGTTGAAATACTTCTTTAACATTGTGGACCATATTTCCGAAACCTACCTAACATATGAATATTTAAACAGGTAGTTAGTTTTATCATCAAAATCCTTCTAGTTACTCGATGATGTTTAGTTTTCCTAAAATCCAACATAATGATAATGACTAACTGCTGAACACAAACTAAAGCGCGTTTTCCGTGACGTATTTTTTGAAGCTCTGTTATGTCCTGATAAGCATAATGAATGGTAACTTTTTGGATCCATTTATGGACCAATACTAAACGTATGTTTTTATCGTATAATTGTTAAATAACTTAATTATTCATGTTCATATTCCTCTTATTATAAGCTTTATTTTGACCTATGAACTATTATTATACGCTTTATCATTCTTGATTTATGCCCTGTCTATTAATCACTGCATCCCACATTCACAGCCACTTTTGGCCAAATCTTGTACAAATGTTGTTTTCTATTTTATGGTACGTTGTGGTCTGTTTGATTGGTATATAAACTCAGTATGTTTGAAATATAATGATTAATATCACAGAGGCTCGGATTGGCGTTCTGGAGTCAACTGGCTGGGCTGGGCGAAAAGCAGGACCAATCAGGACTCTAGACTGCTCGCACGTGTTTTATGCGTCATTGGTTTGAGACGTTGGGTGCGATAGTTTAGAATCGCTTACATTGGATCGGAGGTATTCATTCTTTATCATTCTATAGATCTTGAGTTTCAGTATTCCTTCTTACATACATTTTCATTTCATTTCAAACATTCTAAATGTTTAATCTTTTTCACTGTTATTGCTACTATAATCATTGGGACTCTTTCTATTTATCTTACTAATTTCATCTCATCGCGTTGATTCGGCGATTTTCACACTTGTGTTAGGCTCTTGTTGTCACATGATTGACTGGCATGTCTCTTAGGTATTTCATTTTAATACTAACAAATGATAGTTTTTCATTATTCCAGGTCCTTTAGCATTGCAAAAACTGAACATATCTTTTCTGGTACCATCAGTTCGAAATGAAAATCGTAAAGGAAAAAACCGAACTTTCGACTTGTACATTTAAAAACATGTGTGACTTTTACTGCTACATCAGCTATTTTCCCACCAATACTGTAAGTTTCAAATGGGATGTATTTTCTGCGTAATATGTTACTTTTCAATGTTTATATTGTGTAAATAAGTGTTTGTGTTACTTATTCATTTAACGCTTCTCATTTTGGAAGAAAACTTGAACAGATTTATTAACCACTGCTGTAGATCATTTTTAGGTAAGAAAACTCACGTAGAAATTTCCAGTGTTATTTGATAGAGCCTTGGGAATCCTGTACTTACTAATAGTGCGTATTTAATAGTTATAGAATTAAAGTTCCACCTGTTGCCTAAATCATTAAAAATGGCTACTTGTTTAGATTCAGTTTTCTGATATGTTTGGTTTATAGTTCGAAATTCTGTGTTACCCTTCCAGGTCATACAAATCTAACTCATTTACGAGTTAGATTTATATGAGATGCATTCATGTTAAAACAAATAGTGCTATACTTTTTCCTCTATGGCAATCGCACACACGTCTAATCAAGTTTTTTTTTTAAAATCCATCCATTGGTATTGAGTAACAGCATGCCACACAAACGACATTGCTCTTAATTACGTGATGGTAACCAATTGAAACTTTTAGGTAACTAATTGTATAATCTTTAATCAACCAACTGTTACGTAACAATGTGACTTTATTATGGCCGACATGATTGTGTTTGCTAATCAAATGCATGACGGTGTTTAAGTTTGATCAATATGTTTCATATAATAAGTATAAGTCATTTAATAAATTGATCATTATACGTCGATTAAGGTGACCACATCATTTGTTGTAAATTTAGATGCGGTATCTGTTTGTTTCGTGTGCTCTAATTTCTCATGTTATTGTTTTTATGCTGTTGTCTACTACTTTTGCCTTTGTCGCCGATGATGGAAACTATAAAAGTTTAACAATGTTCACAAAACACCCATTGTTATAACAATCATATGCCCATTAGTAACCAATTTCGAGAGGTAATTCCAGGGGTTTTAATAAAATGAAGTTCAGCCTTATCTAGTGTGAGACAGTTGCTCATCGACGACATTGAAAGATCGCTAGACAACAGCACAAATTGATTTAAGCTAGGTATTTAAACCAGTAAATGTCAACTCAACACTCCTGAAGTTAAGAATTTGAGGGCCCTTTGTTTGACACTCGATGATCTTATGGTTGAGCACTGCTGAGAATCACTATAGTAGGAAGAAACAGTTGTATGGTAGGAAGGAGGCAATTCAGAGAAAAAAATCTCTTTTCGACGATTTCATTTACTTAAGCTGTAGAATCATTTTTATGGTTAAATTTATTTGCTAAAATATTGGTCTATAATGAAATAGAATGGTATAGAATAATTAGAAAAAAAACTTAAAGTAGTATCTTGTCACGAATTGTTTACGAAAAACAGATATTGAAAGGAAATTGTGTAATAATCGGCTAGTGAAGAGAAGTAAGGTGAAGCAAATACTAACTTTAAGCACAAGCAACAACATCTTTTGACATATCGACCCCAAATTCGTCCCAAAGTTGGACCCAACTAGATCACATCGCTATCAGCCACGGATGGAGGGGCTCGATAGAGGACTGTCGCTCGTTCGGGAGCACATGCTTAGATTCAGATCATGCTCTGGTGCGAGCGCGAAATCGTCTGCTTCTTAATGGACGTAGGAAAGACAACGTAAAGATACCTCTCAGGTTCCCACTCAATGATAACCAAGCTAAGAATATATTTCAGGAACAACTGGAAAAACAGTTAGGAAACCATGTAAGTGATGCCCACCCCGAGGCAGCATGGAGTGATATCCGAAAAGCTGTGGAAACAACAGAAATATCTGCTAGTACGGTAAGCCATAAGGTTTGGGAGGAAATACTGGATCTCAGCGGCATCTACCACACTGATAGATGCTCGAAAACTCATTCCACCTGGCTCTGAACATGACGAAGAGCGGAGTCAGTTTAAGCGCAAACTGATGAGAAGCCTACGCAATGATCGCGAACAGTGGTGGGTAGCGAAAGCAAGAGAGATGGAAAAGGCAGCGGCAATAGGCTACAGCAGATAACTTTTCAGAATCGTCAAGTAAACCGTTATTAGGAATCCAACTGTTAGCGAAACCATCTCGGGAAAGATGGACATATGATTCACTCTCAATCCAGGAGATTTGATCGATGGGCAGAACACTTTAGGGATCAGTTCAACTGGCCTTCAGTCACACTTCGGTTTCCCACGATCTCCAGTCGACCTAAATGGCAAGTTGATGTAGGTCCTCCAACTCCTTACGAACTTGAAAAAGTTATAGGGAGAGTAGCAGGCCCTGACAGGTTTATCCCTGAAATTTTAAAGGATGGCGGTCCAGTATTAGCAGTGAGATTAACTGAAGTCTTAGGTAGAATCTGGGAACTGGACGTAATCCCATCTGACTGGTCGATAAGGAAGGACAAAAGTTCTCTTATGGCAATCACAGAGGAATCAGTTTCACTAATATAGTGTCTAAAATAATAACTTCAATAATACTTCGATGCCTAACTAAAGCTCCTGAAGAGCAGACTAGAGAAAACCAGGCCGGTTGTCGACCTGGACTTGGTTGTATAGACCAGATATTCACACTATGTCAGGTTCTAGAACACAGACACACATTCAGACGTTCCACAATAGTAGTATTTCTCGACCTTAAGGTAGCATTCGACTCTGTTGATCGTGAGGTTCTATGGCAGTGTTTGTCACTGAAAGGAGTACCAAAGAAGTACATTAACCTTATACAGGCTCTCTACTCGAACACAACTGGTTGAGTGAGAGCTTATGACGAACTGTCATCAAAAATGATTACCTCAAGTGGTGTTCGTCAGGGCTGTTCACTCTCTCCATTCTTGTCTAACTTTGTCGTTGTATTTATTTATTTGAACACATGAATATTGGTACAAGAGAGCGCCAATATATATGCGCCACACAAAACAATGAGAATTCGAAGAGAAGTAGAAAAAAAAACTAAGGAGCGCAAAAGAAAAAGAGAACAATGACGAAGAGATTGGAGTAAGGTAGTGTGGTAGTAACGACGGAACGAAAAGGTACAATCAGAAGAAATCTTTCAGGTAAAGGAGACACAACCACTTTTTATGAAGAAAGTAAAAGAAGGTTACAGCAGGATCGCCACTGGCTTCTATTCTGAGCCATATCTGATAACGTCTCTAGCCACTGTGTAGCACCATCTCTCAGACCCCAACCAGGGAGTCGTGAAGGACCAACACAAGCCAGTCCTTTGCAGCTTTCTTTCATGCCACGACACCATGTCATGCACTGACCACCTCTCCGCTTCTTCCAACCAGTCCCAGAGTCGGCAAATAATGCACGACGTGGAATTCTCTGGGACGACATTCGGAGAACATGTCCAAGCCACCGAAGTCGGTGTTTCAAGATGGTGACACCAATTGAATTATCATCTCTGTGCCCGAACACACGATGCCGAACCTCTGCATTACTGACATGGTGTTGCCACTGAATGTCAGCAATCCTTCGGAGACAGCGATGATCGAACACAGAGAGTCGTCTAACGTCCTCAACTCGGAGAGGCCAGGTTTCACAAGCATAGAGCAAAACTGCTCTCACCGACGCGTTGTAGATCCGACCTTTTACAGCCAGACTAACATCACGAAGGCGCCAAAGGTGGCCCAGATTGGCATAAGCCGCTCTGGCTTTCACTATTCGTGCATTGATCTCATCACTCACACCCCCACCAGCACTTATGCAGCTACCCAGATACACGAACTTCTCAACTACGTCTATCTGCTCACCATCCAGGGTGAGTACAGGATTAGAATCCTGCCAGTCTTGTAGAAGTACTTTGCACTTCGAAGGTGCAAAGCACATACCATACCTACGGACACTGATTGCCAACTGATTAAGTGCGGATTGCATGCCTTGGGCATTATCGCACAGTAAGACAATATCGTCCGCATACTCAAGGTCGAGAAGTCTTTCTCCAGGCAACAGATCCACACCACCATTACTTACATTCATCAGAGCTGTTTCCAGAATGTCATCGATGGCAAAGTTGAAGAGGAATGGTGAGATTGGGCAACCCTGCCTAACCCCACTGCTCGAATGGAACAATGGAGAGAGGTGGTTGTATGCCCTCACTCTGCCTGAGGTGTTTTTATATAGGGCTTTCAGGATGTTAATAAACTTCTCAGGCACACCCTTCTTCAATAGACAATCCCAGAGAACAGTCCTGTCCAACGAATCGAAGGCAGCCCTGATGTCAAGAAACACTACGATTGTTGGCCTTTGATAAGTATGGCGGTGTTCTAACATTTGGCGGAGGGTGAAGATATGATCAATACATCCTCGACCAGAACGAAAACCAGCCTGCTCCATCCTAATGAATGGAAAATAGTTGAGCAAAGTGGAAGAAAAGTGGTAAACCAGCCTGCTCCTCGAATTTGTAGTACTTCGCCAGAGTCTTGAATACGGGTCTCGGATAGACAACACACGTCGATATTAAGACTTTCCAAAGACATAGCCAGCCCTATCTGTTGTCCGACCTGCATAAATGTGCGAACGTTGGAGGCAGCCAGTTTGAATGGTGCATGTGGTTTCAGAAAAACTGCTTCAGTCCTCGTATTCGGTGGTAACATACAATTTTCAACCGGACAGTGACTCGAGAACGTTTAGATACAGTCGAATTTCCACCAAAGACGAGCCGCTGTGTAAGTATAAAAGAGGGTGAATAATGTGGAAAATAATAACAATAATAATAATAATAATAGTAATAATAATAATAATAATGACAATAATAGTAATAATAATAATAGTATTAATAATGACAATAATTGTAATGATAATAATCTGAATCAGTTGTTTGTTTTTCAAAGCGAGAAAGGTAATTTCCATAGGCATAAAAAGTTCATCAATTTGTGTGTGGGCTGTGGTACTGCCCGGGTGCCCAAACCGAAGCAGGTGGTTATCTTAGGGGGCCACTCCCCGAGCCTTTGACCTAAAGGTCTAACCCACAAGGCAGTGGAGCATCGTAAGGAGATGCAGTCCCATGGTAGCCGGTGACCAACGATTGGTTCATACGCCATTTGTTCCCGCAGGATACTGGAGCCCATGTGCACCATTGATTTGGAATCCGGTTAAAGCGCCGGACATTCGCTTTTCGTCCTCTCATTTTCGTAAACAACACCCCCGCCACGAGAAGGCAATGAGTAGGACTTCCCTGGCAGAGGCTGTATACGCGTGGCCGTGTGAGAGTATTTCGAGAGGGAGAGCGGACTCTCCCCACTCTCGGCCGTACCAGGGCATTCAGAGGGCACTTTTCTCATCTAAATTTCCAGGGGTTGAACTTCTACCGGGAGATTCACTTGTTAACTTAGAATATGCCGACGACATAGTTCTATTTGGCGAAGACGCTGACAAAATGCAGTCTTCTGAATCTCGAAGCATTTAGTCAATTCTGGTCATTACGCTTTACCAGAAAACTTTTTCAAAATCACACACAACGGGAAGAGTCGGCTCAATAGGAATGAGAATGGAAAACTTTTGTACAGAAGAGGCTATCGCTACCCATGATCCCCGAGCCTAAACTTTGCGTAAGAAAACAATACATTCAGTCCCCCATTCTTCCATGGTCTTCACCTACTTTTCTATCTCCTGTAATCTGTTTTATTTTTTTTACTTCTATTCGTTTCTGGTCATGCTCAAAACCATTAATTATCCACCATTACAATTTCTAGTTGTTCTGTTCTTAATAGCTATAAAGTGGACAAATATCCTTCATTTTACTACTCTTCACTAGCCGATTATTACACAATTTCCTTTCAATATCTGTTTTCGTAAACAATTCGTGACAAGATACTACTTTAAGTTTTTTTCCTAATTATTCTATACCATTCTATTTCATTATAGACCAATATTTTAGCAAATAAATTAACCATAAAAATGATTCTACAGCTTAAGTAAATGAAATCGTCGAAAAGAGAATTTTCCTTTCTGAATTGTATTCTTTCTTTTTTAGTGAAACATTGGTTCTATTTTGTCAATGCTTGTCTAATTCTTCGCGATTTTCATTGGCTGTTTAGCTATGATGAGTCTGTGATCTAAGTAATGAAGTCCGAAAATGTGTTTTGTCTGGTCAGTTTTTCAAACTTATATTAGCAACGTAATGTGTAGTAGTAAAAGTAAATGGTATTGGTTACTGTACGTAGGCAAACAGGTAGGGAGCTTGCTAGATAATAAATATGTCATTTCCTTTCCACTTATTGATTTCTAATCTAAACTCACTTGGAATGATTGCCTGTAATTGTGTGGTATATAATATTATCTAGGGTTACTGTTTTTCTATTTTTGATCGTGAATCTGGCACCCTGGTACAACGTGATCTAGTCTGTATTTAGTGGTATCGAGCATCCAATCTGGACGTACTATAAATTCCATCAACAGTCCTATATTAGCGTAGTATACTGCAGAAAGATAATAATTTTTTAATTCTCCGGTTAAATCACAGGTATCTAAAAGTGCTACTGATTACCTACACATTTTGTGCAATTGTCTTCGTAAATGAAATAATTTACTTATATTAAAATCGCATGTTTTTCCATAGTGATTTTATTTATCCTGATTTTTGGTTTTCAGGAAATTTAAGTTTTCAGTGTTAAATTTTTCTATTACGGTTGCGTTTTATTTTACAAAGCTATATGCTTGAATCAAGCGATCATGAGAGCGTAGAAGACATTAATTCGTTATCTACACGGCGTGATATTTTTAGTATTTTTGAAATAAGTCATAACCAATTCGCGGATTACTTGCAGTTGAAAATGATGGCCACCACTGGATTCTGAAAGTACCATTTTTACTTTACTATTTAAAAGTCATAGGTAGTTAACAGTGGAGGATGAAAAAACCATGTAGTATTCTTTGGTTTTTATAGTTTTCCAACTGATACCAGTCTGTGGTGAACAATAAGTCTATATGTACTTATACTATGCAGTTATATACACCTATGATATTTTCGTGTTTACTTCGGAAAATTCTAGGTTACCTCCGACTTGTGAACCAAACTTAATTGGTAGTACATCCTCAATAACTAGTCTTCTTGAATGGTCCAAACGGACTGATGTTTTTGACTCAAACCGTTGTCATGGTCGGACGCGAATACAGACTGAGTTTCATGTTTCTTCTCATCTTTTACCACGTTTGGAAAAGGTTTGTTAATCTAATATTTGCCTACATTTTAACTGTTACGTGCTTATTTTCTTTTTTGACAATTTTGAGTAGAGAATTATTTCAGATTTAGAAAAAGAATAAACGTAAGAATCTGTGTGATGTGAGTAAACCTTTATGTTATGCATTTTTTGATTCGGACTATATTAGCTTACTTGAGGTCGGCAAGTCTTTCTCCGGGTAATATCTATAAGTTTTCACCACTTCATTCAAGCTGTTTTCTAAACATCATCGACGTAGAATTTTAAAAAATGATTGAAGAAATTCGACAGCGTTGTTTAGTCCTACTTGGTTTAGAAATATGGAGAGAGGTGGCTTGGATACTTTCACTCTACCTAGAGTGTTTTTGCACAAAATTATTAATATGTTAACCATCTTCATAGGGTCATATCTTTCTGGCTGATTAGAATGACAGTAGTTAGTCTGTTATACTCGCTTCACTGATGAAGCGTTTAATGAAAAATAAAGATATAATTAACACATTCGATACATAGGAAAAGTTTATTCCACTCGCCACAGATTGGTTTCCACGTGTTTCTTGCAATCTGCACAATATGGCAACTTGCTTATTAGCTTTGAAAATTTCTAATTTGGTCAACATTAGCTTTATAGATTGTTTCACTGACATGAAGATTATTGTTATCTTAGATGATTTAAGACAATCTTTAACATTTGTAAAATGCATCTGTTTCTTTTAATTGAGTAGCAAGTTCTGATCAGGCTATGTGGCCTATGAAATTTTCCACATTCAGGACTAGTTTTCACTGTTGTACTCATACGTCGTCCAAGTCAACTGTTGAGCTTCATAAACCTGTTAAGAGTTCACTGAAACTCATTACTTGTGAGCAGGACAGTTCGCGAAGTTGCAAGCGGTTTTATTGACCCACTTTTAGTTGTAACTAGTCTCAATGTACACCTTCCGATGGACTAATAGCTGACCTTGATCTAGGAGCTATAAGATAGTTAACTTGCACCAACCTATTTACGAAGACTTACATGTTGACCACATAAACATGAAACGTGTTTCGTGCACAAAATATCATGATCAGGATGCAGACAGATAGTGTAGAAATACAGTTTTCTATACATACGCAAAATCTGTAGTTTGCTGGAATATGATTTATTTAAGTCCGTGATACAATTTTAGAGGCGAACTTACGGTGGAACTTCAGCAATAAATATGGAAAGTCGTAACTGGTCCAAATTAGGTTGTTCTACACCAAGGCATGGAGTAAGACTTCCATTAAGTGGCTACAGACTTGTGGCGATTTCGGGTAAAAAAGCTAGCTACCTTCAACGTCGATCGTAGTAGGGGATTACGAGTGGTCACAGTAGTAACGAGATATTATTTCTAATTAGGTATAAAGGTGCAAATTAGAGGTGCATAAAATATTTGTTCTAGTAACGATTGAATAAATATTTTTCAGCATAGGGGGCATTTATGAGGACTGTAGAATTTTCATAGTTTAAATTAATAACCGATCTTAGCCAGACTACTATTGAAAATTTGAAAGAACTGGACAACTGTTTTTTTCTAGTATGGAGCTCAGTAGTGTGCATCCACATTCTTGCATCTGGAAGTCGAACCCAGGACTTTCGGTCTCGCATGCGAATGCTCAACTTCTAGACCACTGTGCCGGCATTCAATAGAGTACATGTCTAACTTCAATCAACTCAGGACATTGCGCAACCCTGATCCATTGCATGAGGTGGTTGACTATCTCACGCTCTATATGGTTGAATTTATTTACTCGTTAGTGACTAGCCTAAAGATGCAACTCCTGGTGTTCTGCTGAATGTTCACGACTAGTGGAGTTCAAGATAATGATGACTGATTTTCATAAGTTTTTTAAGATATCAATAATTCTGGATACCAACTTCGGGATGGACAGTCGGGTGGAATCCCTAACCACCTGAGAGCTATGTTAACGACAATTATAATGGCTTACAGATCATTAGTGTTAATCATCTTTTTTATGATCGCATATTTTAAATGTGTTCATATTTTGTTAGTTTTCTTCAATTATATATTTCCATCAGTAAATGTTCAAATATTTATATTTTTCATTTATCTAAATTTGTTATTTAGGTAGATATTCTCCTCATTTCATCTCGACTACAATTTCTAGTAATTATATTGTTACTGTCAGATTTTCTTATATTGTTTTTCGGTGCACGATCTATGTCTCGTTCTCCAGTAAATATAAGAGGTCGGAATGTATTTTCTTTATGTAAGTTTATTATATATATATGTAAAGAATTACTTTTTGTTAGTATGTTAAGTTGTATTAATATAATTCAATAAAAAACCCTTATTAAATGAAGAATACGTAACATAATAATCTATTGATTTGTAACTGAGTTAACTGCTAAAAGATATTCACAAACAAATAAAAGTAAATAACACGAACCAAAAAAAAGCTACACGTAATCTGTAACCTCAATTAACTATTGCAAATTTTCTTTTAATTCTTTTCTTTTTTTCAACTAACATAAACTTATATTGAAATAAAATGAGTTGAATGATTGACATATGTTTAGTTCAAAAACAGGATAAACTATTTAGTCTGTATTTTTAAATTATAATATACACCGTAATTAGTATGAGAAATGTAATATGTACATATTTATTTGAGTAATCGATTTATCGAAGGCAGTTCACCTCAAAAAGTTACAAATTATTTTGGATAGCTCAAAAATACAGCCTATACTTAATTAACCATTATCTAATCACTCATAATGAATCTTTTGTTATGCATAAACTTTTTTTTATTAAACTAATATAAATAGTCTTGTTCGGTATGAAATTAGATGATGATTAACGCGGAAAGTGTTGGAGTGATCCAGAAAATTTCTTGCAAAAGACAACCAAGGATCAGGAAACACTAAGAAGCGTTTCATCCAATCAGCGTTCACTTGAAATTTTAGCCAAAAATATCAAGGAAGTGAAACGTCACATGTAGAGGTTCTGATTGGCTGATTGCTATACTGCTGCTATGTTTAGTAGCATTCCAGAATCTTCGAGCAACCCAAGAACATTTAAAAATATTATAAAAACCCTATATTTTCTGTGTTAAAACGAACCTTGGAGTAAAGTACTTCTCGCATACCTTGCGTCTTCTGTCTCGTTCAGGTCGCTGTATAGTTCTAGCTGGGGGTTACAGAATAGCTTAGGAAACGAATATAGCGTTCAGTTTGCAAGACTTATCAGAAAGAAATATGCATCTCACCAGAATCCAAATTTGCAACATCCTATTAGGCCGTTCGATACTCTACTGAGTAAGTTTCAAGACCTAGTAACTATTTAAGTCTTATCCTAATATGCTTAAATCAATCTGTAAACTATGCTTATCTCAAACATAATGATTAGCCGTCTGTTCGATTTAAATTGTTTTAAAAAAGCCCTCTGGACTCGAATATAATTTAATCCATAGTTTTGTTACGCAGTAAAATTATTGTGTGAATTGAATCTTGAGTAGCAATCATTATATTTAATCAGATTGTTTGGGATTCCTTATTGTTGACATAGCTAAAATCTGTTATCAAACTAGGGTACATGATAATTGGATGCAGATGATAAATTACGTTTGAGAGTAAAATAAAAATAAATTATGACCATAATCTGACTTACAACTTTAGTTTCTTATCGATGCAAAAAACAAACAATATTGATTATTTATTAAAGCGTGCTGTTGCTACATGTTTTAATTATTCACGTCAATAATGAGTGAATCAATAAACACGAAACCTATGTGAAATACTCGGCGGTTTAATCATTTGAATGTCGTCTAGTTTTCACTTTCGCAATTGAATTATGTAGCTAGAAACTTAGTAGAATGTTTCATAAGTACTTACAGTTATTTCTTGAAAATTGACCAATATGTTTACGACGCAAGTGTTTCAGTGACATGGTCTACGCCCATAATATTGAACGAAGCAGTTTAGAATATAAAATGACTAGCATCAATTATATATGTCCTCTCTGTGAATATGCATTACTTGTTATTACCAACTTTGTAAAAACCAATAGATCAAAAATTTCCTACTGATTACGCTTAGTTGTTTTATTTTACTGTGTACTTTTATGTAATTAAGAAAAGCTTTTTTGTACCAGACGTTCGTCATGCTACCCTTTTTCACTTTTTATATCTCCGATCTAAATTAAAATGGTTGTTAGTTTAAAACTCCTACATTTGCTTCATTCATTAGTACTTATTGGTAACATATTTCTTTTAAATCTCCATTTTATTCTCTCTTCGGTGTTTTTTGGAAAACTAATATTAGCCAAACATTCATTTGCTGCCTTAAATTCATTTCCTAATATCCCGAGTTATCTATCCTAGCTGGTATGATATGTTGGCCTAAATGTTGACTAGCCAGTAATGATTTTGAAAGTATTACAATGGTAAATTAATGGTTTAAATGATCAAAGTGATCAACTTGTAATGATTGTTTTATAAGTTTCAACCTTTATCCACTCCATCTATTTCTGTCTGTTCTCAACTGTCTAGTTTTGATAGTCACTGTACGCGAAGTAGTGTTGCGTGCTACTTATATTGACATAAGTATTATATAACGCGAGTCAGGAATTTAATGTCTGGCAGTAGTAGATTGGGAAGATCAAGAAAGGAAGAACAGGAATAGAAAGCAATTAGTATAGAAATGCAAGAACAATGAAGTTCGAGACAATTATTGAACATTTTGCAAATTAAGTATTATAGTATGGTTTGTCTATTTTACCAAGTAACTCTGTAATTTTGTGCTAAATATAATTCGGTTCTCCTCACCTATGTTCTCTTTCACTACAGTATGTATGATCAAATTAAATTATGGCAAATTGTATTAAGTTTAATTAAAATAACCCATAGTGTCATTGAATGAGAAAAAGAGAATTCAGCGAAAAAAATTTTCTTTTCGACGAAATCATTTACTTAAGCTGTACATTCGTTTTTTTTTCTCCACTTTTATTTGATTATTATCGAGTTTTTAAAATTACTGTTTTGCATTTTAAACTCGAATCAGTTATTATTATTATTATTATTATTATTATTATTATTATTATTATTACTATTATTATTATTATTACCTCATACGAGTTTTCTTGATTACTATTTAGTCTATTATTATGACCTTTTTGTTTGTTGTTTTCCTTCATATTTGTCAATTGGACTATTATCTGACCCATAAACGATTTTCTTCCTTACCCCTTGATTAGTACGTAACCTCATTTGTTATTTATCCTCGAATCCATTTTGGTGATGCAAATTTTTCTATCCTCCTATAGACATACATTTTCCATATAACTATATATACGAATGTACAGCTTAAGTAAATGATTTCGTCGAAAAGAAAATTTTCTTCGCTGAACTCTCTTTTTGTATTAAGTTTATTAAATAATTACATCATGATTATAATAATTATTTTTCACTTTAATTATTAACTTATTCATAATATTAAAATGTAATTTATTTTGTTTTGCTTACGAAGAAATACTTGTCACACAAATCAAATATAAAATAACTTATTGTTATTATCATCCATCGGTGAAAAAGTTTTCATCAAATGGCACAATGTTCAATTCTGCGTTTACTATGAACAGCTGGATTTGGATCATTTGATAAACAATTTTACACGGCAGTTTAAAAGTTAACAATCTACAAATTTCTACTACATATATATATTTTTGAGTTATGTACAATTCCTATTCTTAACATTAAGTAGATTAATTTTTCTAAAAATTTTTTTAGTTTACTACATTGTGGTATACGTTTATAATTCTCATTCTTTCTTAATTGTCTATGTAGTTTATTATTTGGATCATTCCATTCTCGTTTTTTTGAAAGGGAGGGAGGGTGGTTAGATTCTTCTCTCTTTTTTGTCTGATACGTTGAATCAACATATTAGCGAGCTCAAATGTGATATACATGTATATTTGATTTTATTATATCTACATATATCTATTTTGTACACCATCTTTTTTATTGTTGTTACTATTATTATTTGTGTTTCTACAACCATAAATGTACTTTTTCGACTCTATAAATAACTGATGTAAATATAAAAATAAAAGTTGGTTATTTTTTCTGTTTCCTAATTGTGCGTATTTGTGTGTGTGTTGTGCTTCTTTAATATTCTTCTTTGTCGTTTACTTATCTTAGATGCTTTTAATTGATTTAATTGTTATAGTTAGAAACCAGAGTTTTATATATAGCTTTGTTTAGTTTTTTCTCGTGCAAACTATGAATGCTAAAAATCATGTTATCCAGTCATTTATTATTACATTAATTAGGAAATATTTTAAATATACTTTCATTTTTACGTGAAGATTTATGACATAACGGTTAATCGTAGAACATTTTCATAGTTTTCCTACTGTACCTTAATGTATGGTAAAGTGTTATCATCTTTATTAGTTTGGTTTAAATAATTAACATTTTCCGGTTTGTATATTTTCGTGCTCTTATAATTTATTTGAAGGACACTGAACATCATTGTCCTATCAATTAGACAATCTGTTATAGTAACTTGTGAAGAAATCCTGATAGCTCATTTTATCTAAAGTGGTGATCAAAACTTTGCAATTAAATCAAAGGATATAACCCTATTAAATAGATTCTTTTTTCCTTGCGTACATTCTTTTCTTGTTTAGACAAAATATGTTGCAATATGAATCAATTTGAACCACAAAGATCAGAAGCTAACACGTAGATTATATGTGTGCGAAATGAAAGTTTTGTGTTCTTGCCTTACCACCCCCCCTGGACCTTTAAAAAAGAAATAGTTATAAATATCATTAGTTTGTTAGGTACTTTAATGAGACCAGTACATATATCGATTTTGAAAGGATCCTGTTTTCTAACCAATGCCCAATGTAATAATAGTTGTACTATTTAAGTTATGTCAAGTTAACTTTATCACTTGTATTGGGTTAATGATTACAACTGATAAAATCGACACTATCAAGAATATATATATATATATATATATATATATATATATATATATATATTCTTGATGATTTGTGTAATAAGGAGTGAGCAGTTCATTTGCTGAGTCAGTCTGTGAAATTATTGCTAATATCTCACTTTCTGTCTTTTGCTCATCTGAAAACTTTATATACTAGGTAAACCTTCCTCAACCAAGTTTAATCAGTCTGACGAATTAGTGTATTACGTTATTCAGTTTAATAGTTTGCAAAGTAACTGAGTGATAGTGCTGTCGGTTTGTGAATTCATAGTGTTATTTTATAATGTTACAATAACTTTTTAGTTATTATTCAACATTACAATTGAGATGCGATATCTTCCCATGAAAACACTGATTTTCCGCTGATCGTGTTAGGACAATGGAACTCAGCATACCGTCTAATAAGCTACTAGAAAGCCTTTAGAACGGTTTACTTATCAAAGTACAAATCGCTTTCAAATTACAATTTCCTGTCACTCGTATTCGAATTCTCTACACATCAGCTTACAGTGGTAATCTCAGTGTAAGCAAGTAATCAAGTACTGGCTTGTATATTAGATTTAGAAACATGTATTCTGTTTGGGACCTAAGAGGTGAAAATGACTTCCAAGTTGGTCCCTAACAGTTGAACACTAATTTTCTAACCAACGAGTTCTATGGAGTATACCAGTTTTCGGAATAGTTGGAAATGTCTTTTTATGTACAAAAAACATATTGTGTCTTCTTGAAACCATTTCTTTTTAGTAACTGATGCGGTTTTGGGTGACCGATTTAACTTTTCTCGTCCAGATAGTTCTAGTAAAACAGCGATAACTGATAGGATTTCTGAAGAGTTTTGTTTTCGTTCCCTACATAATAAAATTAATAATTCATAATAGAAACGTGGGAAAGAATGTTGCAAATTCAACACAAGTATCACATTCTCTTTCTCACAAAGTCTTTCATGGCCACTACTATTTTGAATCCCCTGATAGTACTGATGGTCTCTTTAGTCTTTTGTGCGTTCGTCTTAAATTATATTCCAAGGTGGTATTAGATGAACAGTATAGATTCTTGCATAAATTGATTCGAAGTTTACCTACTTACTGTATACCTTCAAAGAAAGCCCACTAAGTAAGATTGCTTTATGCAACTGAAATACGTGCAACTATATACAGTGGTACATTCTTGTGCTCATTGCTGCTTTCAGACTTTTTTCCACTAGTTATTCACCCCTTTTATATATCTTATTATCATGCTACCATGGTTTTACTCATAGTGGTTTTTGATATCAGTTTATTTAATTACTCTTGTGCATTTCATTTCTGTGACAAAAAATTTTGACTGTCCTGTAGTGAACGAAAAACACATCTTCCACCAGTTGTACTTTAAATGCTTCATAACTCTCTCAATTGTGTTGTATATCATTTAAGATCATTGTAGTGATTTTAAAGAAATGGATTTTCATGATTAGTATAAGTCTAAGTATATGTATTGCACAGTAATATCTAATGTGTAGTTTATTACAGTGTGCACGAACTTTATCTTACTATGAGAAATCTCATGTTGATGCTATATTACGCTTATTACATTACATGATTATATTTTAAATTTCAGTCTAAAGTAATACGAATATGATGTTATCCGCGCTTACACTGTTAGATCAATGGTTATCGATCCATAACCATAACTTAATTTCTACCTATTCGA